GTGAATAATCATTATAGGTTCAAAAAATGTACATATACGAATACAGATAAATAAAACAAAATATAAATCATAACCTACAGATAATATATAAATAAATCATTACAGATATGTAAGCATCTGAAACACTAAAAGTTGAAATACATCATCGTAATATTCCGCTAAGTCATAATAGGCTTTTTGCAGAAGTACTCTTTTAACAAATTTTCTGTTTTTTTTTTTTAAATTTGCTATTGCCCTATAGCACATTGGAAGGTGGTTGTATATTTTCTCGCTCTCATATATCAATGAAAATTTTGTAATTGCTGATTTTTGGATTGGCAAGGGTAAATTCTGGCTTCCTCTAGTGTGGTAACGTCTGTCATTATTTGCTGCTGAGTTGGAGTATTTTTTGTGAATAAGGCAAACGGTTTCTATAAGGAATAAACAAGGTACAGTAAGAATTTTCTGACTGATGAAAAGTGGTTTGCAGGGGTCTTGTGATTTTGCTCTACATATGTATCTGACAGCCCTTTTTTGTAGAACGAATACTTACTTTAGTAGTAGCTGACTACAAAAATCTATAAATACCCCTAAAAATTTTGTGGTGTGACTTTTATTAACTATAGCGTGATTTTCTATAAGTAAATCATCAAAATTGAGTTTGAAGCAAACAATGTTTGTTTTATTTGTGTTGAAACATAAGAAGTTCAACCTTATAAAGATCCAGAGTTATGATGTCTCTGAAATTATCTTCATTTGTCCTACGCCAAAGGATCGTGGTGTTATCCGCAAAAAGTGTGAACTTTCCTTCAATGTCAATGGTTACCAGATCATTCAGATATAGTAGAAAAAGGATAGGACCCCGAACCGAACGTTGTGGTACACCTGATGTATTATTCTCAATATGCGATGTATTTCCTTGGAGTTTTACTAATTGCTTCTTGCCTGTTAGATAACTGTAAAGTCAGTTTAAATAATAGTGTTTCATGGTTCTCGCAGTCGAAAGCTTTTGGGAAATCACAGAATACTGCCCCAATAGATTCGTTATTGTTTCAACCAATATATACATCTTTCAAAAAAGAGAAGATAGCATCGCCATGTGTTTTAATGGCTTTGGAATCCATATTGAGATTCGCATAGTAGGTATGTTATGATGACTTAAGAAGTTAAGCGTTCTCTTTTTAACCTAAATAAAAATGTTTTGCACGACGAATATTGCTTGCACAGACTGGTTTTTGATAAAAACATATTGTTTTATACAGGGTGAGTGCAGCATAATTCAAAATGAAATTCCCAATCAACCATGTGAAGTGAAGATGTAACCAAAACAAATAACGCACTGATATGTTTATCGTTCAAATATCATCATTTTGTACAGGGTGAGTCAAGAAGTAACAGTTTTCCTGGCGACATTTTGTATATTATTTTATATTTTGAGCTTTAGGGAAACTTCCCACGAACCATTCAACACACTTCTTGAACTCAATTGATTTACAGTATGATACAAACACTAGGTGATGACAAAAATTGCGAAAACGAGATTTTTTTATAACTCATGGTGTATTTGATTTGCTGAATTTTTGATATGAAGTTCAAGTCAAGCTGATCGAAAGTGTCTATGAAAAATGGACAATTTTTTCTCTACAAAGTGTTGAAGGTTTACATATAAAACTAACTCAGTTAGTTTCCACCCAGCTCAAAGCCTTTTTTTTGTTTTCAATTCTCACTTCAGGGGTTTGGCAAAGAATGTTCATAGGGTGAATAATTTTCAATGACTAATGTTGAAATAACGACGAAAACCAGACACTGACTGGCCCTTCGATCATTACCAATTGAAAAAAAGTTGTATCAGAGAGAAAGTTTTTTTTTTGAAGGATATTAAGAAACGTGATATATTTTAATATATCACGAATATTTAAAAAAAATAAAAAGTAGAGATTTCAACGAACAAGAAGCATAGCGATTAAAAAACAGATATTTTGACCGAGAATTTTTGATTGAAAATCAGGGTGCTTTTAAGATATCGAATCAAAACAAGGTGAAAAAATTAATCTTTCAAATCCAAAAAATTACAGGTAAGTTTTCACCAAATTTGGTAAAATGCCGTTGCATGTAAGTGCATTATACTCCGAGGAATATAAATGAACGGTAAAGAAAATAAAAGGCATTTAGGAGAAGTTTCTCAAGTTTGAAAGACTCATTGGTATTTCAGTTTCCAAAGATATTTACAGTTGGCAATAAATTGATATGAAGTGAGAGATTGTTTACACTATGGTTCACAGATTAAAGATCTAAATGAAATACGAGCGATATATTTCGATTCGTGCCCCATCTATCAACATGTGTCCAGATTTCGGCCAATCTCACTTCTCAGGTCGAGCATTTTGGATAAAACAATGGAGAATCTCTTCAAACCCCAGGGCAAAAAATACCAAGCTCATAAATACAATTT